GGAGAGAATTCAAGACGTTGATCAAGGCAGCTTCACTCCTCTAGTGTTCACAACCTCTGGTGGGATGGGAGCAAGTGCAAGATGCTTCTACGCCAGACTCGCGGAGATGATATCTGAACAGAAGCAGCAGCCCAGAAGTTATGTTACAGCCTGGATGAGATGTCGACTGTCCTCCTCTCTACTTAGGTCGGCTTTGCTCTGCCTTAGGGGAACGAGAGCATCGACCCCAAAGCCGACAACAGTTGCAGATATTGATTATGAGGCAACAATCACTGAATGCTGCATAGATCTGCGGCTCAACTAACTCAACACAGCTAGGATTGCTACTTATGTATTAGGATATTTAATTTTAAGGTAATAAAACGGCGGCGAAGGTATGGCTTATAAGGGGAGGATGGAGGCCATTTAAAAAAAAAGTAGTAGTAGTAGTAATTAGCAATAAAATATAATAACAGAAATAATAATAATAATAATAATAATAATAATAAAAATAATAATAATAGTAATAATAATAATAACTGGAATTTAACTACTTATATAACAAGAAATACACATAAAAATGGTTTTCAGAAACTCGTCAGACCTCAACTCACCTGGACAGAAACAGAACAACCAAAACTTCACCTGAACAGAAACAGAACAACCAAAACCTCACCTGAACAGAAACAGAGCAGTCAAAACTTCACCTGAACAGAAACAGAGCAGTCAAAACCCCACCTGAACAGAAACAGAACAGCCCAAACCTCACCTGAACAGAAACAGAACAGCCCAAACCTCACCTGAACAGAAACAGAACAGCCCAAACCTCACCTGAACAGAAACAGAACAGCCAGATCCCCAGCAGAACTGAACCATTTAGGAGTGAATAAAAAGCCACCAGGAACTAGATTTCAGGACAGAGCCTTGGGGTGGATGGAGAACACAGTAAACTCTCGACTGTGTGTATACTAACAAGACGGTGACCGGCCTTCCCACACCCTACCCGAGCTGCTCTCAGGTGTGTAACGCGCGCGGTCAACGTATTTTACAAGTGAACCTTTCTTTTAAGTGGACGTTTCTTACAATTGAACGTTTCTCACATATGAAAATGTCTTAAAAGTAAACGTTTTTATGAGTAAGGTTTCTTAGAAGTTAAAGTTTCTTACGTGTGATTTTGTGAGTTTTTCTTATAGATAAAAAAATCGTGAAGGTTTCTTGTAAACAAAGGTGGTTTGTGTGACTGACGAATAGAACGACTATTAAAAGTATTGTTGGGGGGTAAGAGAACGTTTCTTACATGTAAACGTTTGATACAATTGAACGTTTCTTGTCAGTGAACTTCTTGTAAGTGAACGTTTCCTTCGAATGAATCCCGCATAAGTGAACATTTCTTACAAGTTAATCTGGCTTATAAGTGAACGCGTCTTATATGTGAACGTTTAATACCACTGAGCGTTCCTTAAAAGTGTACAACTCGCAAGTGACGTAAGAGAAGGTTTGCCAGCATCCATCACGGGTGTCTGGCTGGGATAGTTGTTGACGTGGGCCACAATAACACATGTTCGCTCCTGCGCTTCTCTCATCACCTCTGTTTGTGTCCATCATTCTTCATAGTCTTCTGCTGTTTTTGTTTGATTTTTATATACCTTTTCTTGCTTCTATGTGGGTTTATTTTAATACTCTTGGGATTCAGGTTCAAATTCGCCTCATGCCCCCCTTACAACCTGTGTTAGGCTCAAACAATGTTTACGTGATGGTGTGTCCCCTGGCTGTTGTTTTGGTAGTTTTTTGGATATCACAATTTTTGTTTACTTCCGGTTCTGTATTAAAGTTTTATTGACAGCATCAAATAATTAAAATAAATATAAAATATACTAAGCTAACTTGATAGTTCTAATTTTAAAATGCACTTCTTCATCACCAATAACGCTTTACGGTCATTTTCCATGCATGCGTGAGTTAACCGTGATTACCTCATGGCAGCTGTTGGATAGAACGAGAACAGGGTCCCCCCCCCCCCAGCTCACCATCACAAACCCTGAACGCTAACCCAAAATATACTTACAGTAGTGACCTGGGGATGAGCACAGCTCCGGTGACCCGGTTGCCATCAGGCATGTTGTAACAGTTTTACGGCTGGATGCCCTTCCTAACACCAACCTACAGAACAGCGACCCGCTTACTTACTCAACATCAGAAAAACAATATTTAAACATTCTTACGTCACTGTAAATATCAATATATTGTATAAAATAGGATTATCGGGTACAGAGTAAATCTGTATCAAGGAAAAGTTTACAGGAAACAGACGTCAATATCTACTGACTCTGTACACTAACTTACTATAACCTTCAATACTGACGTCACACTAGAACTTGATTGTAATGATGCGTGTGTATCAGCAGGCGTGTCAGCAGGAGCGTGTGATAGCAGGAGTGTCAGCAAGAGTGTCAGCAAGAATGTGACAGGAGTGTCAGCAAGTGACAGCAGGAGTGTCAGCAGGAGTGTGACAGGAGTGTCAGCAGGATTGTGTGGAAGCAGGGGTGTGACAGGAGTGTCAGCAATTGTCAGTAAAATTGTCAGCAGGAGTGTTTGACAACATGAATGTCAGCAAGTATGACAGCAGGAATGTTAGTCAGCAAGAGTGAGAGAGCAGGAGTGTGTCAACAAGTGTCAGCAGAAGTGATTGACAGCAGGTGTGGCAGCAGGTGTGACAACAGAAATGAGTGACAACAGTGTAACAGCTGAATGTGTGATAGCAGGAGTGTGACAGCAGGAAGGTTTGATAGCAGGAATGTGACAACAGAACTGGGCCAGCAGGAATGTGTGGCAGCAGGAGGGTGTGGCAGCAGGAGGGTGTGACAGCAGGAGGGTGTGACAGCAGGGGTGTGACAGCAGGAGGGTGTGACAGCAGGAGGGTGTGGGGAGGTGTGACAGCAGGGGTGTGACAGCAGGAGGTGTGACAGCAGGAGGGTGTGACAGCAGGAGGTGTGACAGCAGGGGTGTGACAGCAGGAGGTGTGACAGCAGGAGGTGTAGTCAGCAGGGGTGTGACAGGAGTGTGACAGCAGGGTGTGTGGCAGCAGGAGGGTGTGACAGCAGGAGTGTGACAGCAGGAGGGTGTGACAGCAGGAGGTGTGACAGCAGGAGAGGTGAGCAGCAGGAGTGTGTGACAGCAAGGAGGTGTGGCAGCAGGAGGTGTGGCAGCAGGAGGTGTGACAGCAGGAGGTCGCCGGCAGCAGGAGTGTAACCCAGCAGGAGGTGTGACAGCAGGAGGTGTGAGCAGCAGGAGGTGTGACAGCAGGAGGGTGTGACAGCAGGATTGACAGCAGGGCAGGGTGGTGTGACAGCAAGAGTGAGTGACAGTACGAGGGTGTGACAGCAGGAATGTGTAACAGTGCGTGTGTAACAGGAGAGTGTGACAGCAGGTGTGGCAGCAAGATGGTGTGGTAGAGGGAACCAACTGTTGCTACTGTTTGAACTCTGTGTATTTACCGCCACTTGAAGGTGACAAACACCATGTGACTATATCCTCGAAGATGATTGGTCAGCTAAGACGAGACATTGCCAACATAACTCCACAATACACTGGCTATCTGAATGATCTTTTGCCTTACATATAACTGAAGAATTATACTTTTAAATGTTTTATTGTGTAACCAGTTTACATATTGAAATAAAAATAAAGTATTAAAAGGGGATATTTTCCGCGAAGATGACTGGTCAGCTGTCTTAAGAGTTGCCACATACCTTCGTCAACCACACACTATTTCATACACAACTAACCACCATTATTAACAACTTTAACATATCCATCCAATATTGTTATCTATACTTAATTGAGTTTTATTTATAATGGCTGAGACAGGTAGGAAAGACTGTTTAACTTTAAATAATGATCACAGTCAGTATCATTGCCACACGCCTCTATAATTCTCAAGCATTTCGAAGTACCAACCTCTGCTAACTCAAAGAAGATTTTTGCAAGTGTTTTATTTTCTCTAGTGATTTTAAGTAATACAAGATACAGAAATAGTTACACATGAAGGAGAAGCGGGAGTGGAGGCCGCTAGCCAGGCAGCCGAGGGCCGTTGTGTTGTGTTACGGGAGGGAGGGAAGCGAGGGCGTTGCTTATTTTTGTTACATTAATTATGGAGTCAGGCTCTCCACGCTTGACTGTTACAAGAAGCTGTGTTTTTCTTGCAACGCTGACGAGCCTTTGCTTGCTCCACCACACTGAGAAAACAAATACACGGCTGCCTAGCTGATGCCACAGTGTACTACCACTGGTAGTCTGGGCTTTAGCTTAACTCAGCACAAGTGACCTACAGTGTAGATCAGCACTGTACTAGCAGCATAGCTCAACACAGTAGTAGTAGCATAGCTCAGCAAAGTACTAGTAGCATAGTTTAGCACAGTACTACTAGCACAGCTCAGCACAGTACTAGTGGCACAGCTCAGCGCAGGACTAGTATCGCAGTCATTTGTCTCTTAAATGTATCAAAGTCAATTATTTACTCTAAGTAAAACTCCCAAGTTAACGGTACCACAACAATTCACATTAACTCTTGTTATACACTTATGGACGGAGGATATACAAACGTGTCATCTCCTCTGACTTGTCCTGTTAATAACAATCATGGACACATAACTGTGTAAAAAAAAATGAGTATCATTGGTACAGGTGTAGTTAGTTACAAGTACAGGTGCAGGTACAGGTACAGGTACAGGTACAGGTACAGGTACAGGTACAGGTACAGGTACAGATACATGTACAGGTACAGATACAGGTACAGGTACAAGCACAGGTACTGAATTATTAAAATGGTAACAGTACAAAAATACTGCTCAAGATTAACCTATTTATGCTTCATCAATTCTCTCACTCTGCTCATTTTCTTCTCTTTTTCTAGCTCTCCACACCTGTTTCTCTCTTCCCTGACTGTGCTGTGTTATGCCCATCCAGACCGTATACTGTCTTCCTCACAGCATCACTCAGACCGTAGTCTTTCTTCCCTACAGCATGTCTCCTGGCGGCGGGTAAAGGCAGAGATGAATACACAGGCGGAGGCGGCTACCCAACCCAGCTAACCTGTCCCCCTACCCACCAAGGAGGAGGAGGGGCGCTTGGAAAGACACGTCCAGGTACCCCTCGATCCCCCCTTAAAGACCACAAGGAGGAGCCCATGACCCTCTCGGAGAAGACCCATCACCAGCACCACCACCAACAACAACAACAGCAGGACCAGCAGCAACAGCAGCAGCAGCAACAGCACCAGAAGAAGCCGCTGCACGCTAAGTTGATCAATGTGTCAGCGAGTCTGGAGATGAAGGCCCTCTGGGATGAGTTTAACGAGCTGGGAACTGAGATGATCGTCACGAAGGCTGGCAGGTGAGTACTTGTAGTGTGACTCCACTAATGACACGAGGGAGTTTGGTGTAACTCAGCCTCTACAGTGTGTTTATAGAAGATTCTCTTTGTTACTATTATGGGATCACCTGGAAATTGGGCACCCCAGATCATCTCCCCTAATGATTAAACATCCTAACGCTACATAGGGTGTTGGGATAGGTTAGGTTAGCGTGTTTAATCATGTGAAATAAACTGGGGTGCTTACTCTTCAGGTGGTCCGTTGTGTGACATAATTGATGTTAAATGAGCGTTTCAAGTTAAGGTAGAGTCTCAAGTCTCGTTTAAGACGTTTTGTTTTTGCTTTAGCTGACGTCAACAAAGCAAATGCGTTCTTATATTTCCAATTATGGGGTAAATAATTTCGTCTCAATTAAGTCTTTTATGCGTAAAATAAGAAGAGGATAATGCTTCCTCAGTGACCTCGTCAGTAGAGGAGAAACACCCGAACTGTCATCGGAGTCACCGTCAGGAGATGTCCACTTCATAAGTTCCTCTCTCTCTCTCTCTCTCTTTATAATCATGTGTACTAATCGTGAAGGCAATGAGTTACATAATCCGTATTCAATCATCCGGTAATTTCTAGTCTGTTAAAAGAAGATAAAACTATTGCATCGATCACATTATTATCTCCACATTCTCGTACACAAGAGAGGACGGTGGTTTTAGTCCATCTCTGATAAAGTGGGCGAGGATTCACGAAGGTGTATGACGTCGTAACAGGTTTCATAACAAAGAACAGTCATACAATAGTGTATAATGATGCTCGGTGACACAAGCTAACGTGTACAGCTTGGGTGAGAGGGAAAACCTATCACAAACACACGACTAATGAAGTCTTTAAGATCCTTCACAATGCAAGAGCTACAACAAAGGAGCGATGGTAAAACTCACGCTCGCTGCCTGGGGACATTTTATCATAAGTTAAATCGTGTTGTTCCTCTCAATAATAAACCTTAGAGGGACATCAACAGACTCGGAGGAAAAACCAAGACAATGTTGGCCACCCACATCCACGCCCTCTACACAAGGCTGGGCGAAGATGTCGAGTTATGGTAGCCTGCCACCTGACTCCAGAAGTAAGCTTGCAGCTCCCTCAAGAATCAGTTCACAATTAATAAGCGTTATGCTTCTAAAGGCCATGATCAATGTAGTGTACTCACAGAAAAGAAACTTGTTGCTGTCCAAATTTTTTTCCTAAAGATTCTCTATCTTAACATTGTCTCCTAAGGGTTGCTATGTCAATATGCAATACACAGTTGGTAATCATTGTGTCATTTTTATATAAGTGTGTGTGTGGGGGGGGGGGGGGGTAAAAACCAATGTCATTCGTACACCTGAAATGACAACTCTTAAATATAACGCAAATAATAATAATAATAAAAGGATATCTCTGTCTGAGGGTGTGTCTATCTGTTCCAGCCATAGCTCCAAGACGGAAGCAGTGAGATATCCAAAACTTTACACATATTACATGGGTCCCAAGGTTGTGCACCTTGGTATTACTATTGACCACGGACCCCTGGGTGGTCCAGGCAAGAACTAAGATATCACCACGGCGACGGGAGGTGGTTACCCGTGTCAGGGAAGGCAAACTGTTACGGTCAACGTTGTACAGCTTATACCTAACCCGAGTGAAACCGGGTAATATTGCGTATATATATATATATATATATATATATATATATATATATATATATATATATATATATATATATATATATATATATATATATATATATATATATATATATATATATATATATATATATATATATATATATATATATATATATATTGTAAATCCACGCGGACTTCTACATATAATCAACACCTCACCCCGCCAGGATTCGAACCCACGACCCACGACTGTGACCGGGGAACGCGACCTCTAGACCACCAGGACACTAAAAGCAGTCTTAGACTCTTGTTATATTTCACACAAAGCCTGTTCAACGAGCTTATGGCGCCGTGAACCTCTTATGGGGACTACCCGTATTTTTTTTTTACTTTTAAGAAACTAAGGAACTTGTATTATGAATCACAATTTTATAGAATGTGAAAGACTTAAAGAAGTTCGTGATATACATGTTAGATACTGCACATTACCCTAGTGGTGTGGTGAGTCTGTTAGTAACATCCAAACTTAAGAATGACTCAATAATTGTTTCCTTTAATCTTGATAATTCGACTAACTTTTCCTGTCACAAGCTTAAGCAAGAGCCTGGAACATATTTACTTATAAAAGTGGGTCAAATTGTATGGTAAACCTCGATATACTGTAGAAGTCGGCACTGCGTTTGTGGTATAATACTGGTGAAACAGTGATGTGTCTTGCTTAAGAACATGACTCAGGTACAAATGTGGCCAACTAATGAAGTATTTTGATAATAAATATATATAATACAAGTGATTCTTTTACCCCTGACACGTCGACCTGAAACTGTAGATGATGTTAAAGGTTAATGTAAGAGACTGAAACACACGCCGGGTACGTTGCTGGCGAGATAATGATGTGTTTAGCTTATGAACGTCCAAGTTTGGGGAAGTTCGGCTTGAGAGTGTGTGTGGATGGGTCAGTCAACCTTGAGGGTTACCCAAACACTTAAGTGACCTCTGTGTATTGACGCTAGAGTGTTAATTAAGTGTGTTGATCACGGTCACTGAAGGGGTAGAGGGAGTGTACCTGGACAGTGGGTGGGTGTGTATGGACGGGTGTAGGTGGGTTCAGGTAGGTGTTGATGGTAGGCAAGTGGGCGTGGATGGATGTGGTTATAGGTGAATATCTTGATATTGAAAGGTGTAGGTGTATAATGGAAGCCCCTCGAAATCGAGGATGGCCGGCCCAAGGGCCACCTAGGCGTGAATTTGTTTAAGGTGTAGAAGCTGTCGCCAACACAACAACCACACCTGAGATAACGAGCTGCATGGCCCAGTGTCAAGGCTTAGTCCGAAATAACCGGACAACTCGCTAACTGCAGTGGCTAATCATTACCCCGGAATACGATCCGCAAATCAATTAACATCCAGGTCCCCAATTACTGCTGGGTAGATAGAGGCAAATGGCATAAAGAAACTTGCCCATAGTTTCACCCTGCCCGGGGATCGAACCCAGGTCCGTTCGCTTGCGAGGCGAGCATGCTGACAATTACACCACAGGTTGCCATAGGTGTATATGAACAGGTGCTTAGCTCTGCTCCCGGGGATAATTATCAGATATGGCTAGTGCTACTGGTGAACGGGGTTACGCCCTTCTGTGGGCAGAGTTACAGAAATCCAAGGAAAAAACCCTGAAATTAGAGTTAGAAAACTTGATAGCAACGCTGAAGGAAGAAACGGGACAAGGAAAGCCGGTGAATGACGATAACTCTGGGGAATGGAAGGTTGTGAGGAGAGGGACGACCAAACTGGTGGGGAAGAAAAATACCAAGGCTACGACAACAACGACAACAACAGCTAAGTGTACCAACTCGTTCAGTCCCTTGATAGACGAAATGGACGTTACTACAGTCAGGGACAGGGATGACAAGGAAGGTAGAAAAACGTTAATTGTTGGTGACTCACAGGTAAGGTACATGGACAGAGCCTTTTGTGGTAAAAATAAAAATAGGATGAGGGTGTGTTTGCCAGGGGCTGGGGTGGGGGATATAGTTGACAGGATGGACAATATCTTGTCTGGTAATGGGAACAAACCCATTATCTGCCTCAGTGCAGGAGGCAATGATATTGGCGGGTGTAGGAGTGAAGAGCTTCTTGATAAGTTCAAGACAGCTATAGATCGTATTAGGTCTAAGGGAGGGATCCCTATCATATGTGGTGTCCTGCCTAGAAGGAGGGTTAGCAATGAATGGTTTTCAAGGGCAGTTGGTGTCAACGGCCGTATTGACGGATATTGCAAGTCAATATCAGTCCCATTCATTGACAACTGGGACAACTTCTACGGCAGAAGGGACCTTTATGCTAGGGATGGGGTACACCTGTCTCGGGAGGGGGTGGCAACCCTGGCTGGGTCTCTAGAGGGGGCAGTTCAAAAGATATGGAAGTCTTTAAACTGCTAGGGGAGCATAAGAGCACGGGGGTAGAGGAGACCAGTGGTAGCGGGTAAACCAAGTGAAAGATTACAGGGAAATAGTGTTAGGAATGATGACAAAACTAAATTAGACAGGGAATTTAAACCTAAACGCGGTAAAGGGAGGACTCAGAACACGACTAACTTAAATGTCTACTACGCGAACAGTAGAAGCATGAGAAACAAAATGGATGATATTAGGGCCTTGGTATGTACCGAAAAAATCGATATAATAGCATTCACTGAAACATGGGTCAACCTAGACTCACGTGAGTTACCTGTCGAATACCAAATTGCGGATTACAAATTGTTCCATACTGATAGGCCGTCCAGGAAAGGAGGCGGAGTAGCCATCTATGTCAGGGATAATCTGAAGTGCGAAATAAATAAGGAAATAAAAACCGAGCGGAATACAGAAACAATTTGGATAGAATTAATCGACGGTAGGGAAAAATTAATCATAGGAGTAATATATAGACCTCCCAATCTTGATAAGAGTTAATGAGCGACTTATCTGGGATGAAATGCGCAGGGCTTCCATACACAACAAAGTCTGTATAGTAGGCGATTTTAACCTTGGCCACATAGATTGGACTGAACTTACGGGTAACTCAGTATCAGAGGATTTCCTCGAAACGATCCAGGACTGTTTCCTAAGTCAACATATAACCGAACCCACCCGGGGTAATAATATACTCAATTTAGTTCTGTCGAACAGAGAAAACCCCATTAGCAATGTCGAGGCAGGGAACGAACTTGCAAACAGCGATCACAAAGAAATTAGATTCCAGTTAGATTTTCAGGCCAGACATAAAGGGAATTCCATTAAACTCCCAGATTTCAGAAGGGCAAACTTTGATAGTTTAAAGAGGCAGCTGAGAGAGGGGGTATCACACTTGGATGTGAACCAAGA